ATAGTTATTAGATATTGATTGGGATAGAGATGTGTAAGAATTTTTACTTCATTAACGAGACGAGACAATCAAATTGATAGTCACACCATCATAAATTAAAAACGAATAATTTATTCTAATTTTGTAAAATTTAGTTGTGTGTAATAAAAGAGAAGGTATAAATATTTCATAAGTTGATTTTGGTACTAATTTTTGGCGATTTTGGCTCTTCAAGTAACTTGATTGTCACTCATTTCATTTTCATCACTAAAGTTGGAATCCTACCAAGAAAATTTCCATGTAATGAAAATATGTATTTATTATCCTTGTCAAATTAATTTTAAATTTTTAATAAATTTTATATACTTTTAGATGAGTCTTTTTTTATTTTATGAGTACTAAATAGTTTTATATTTTTCAATTGAATTTCTATAATTTAATTTTCTTTTTTATTAAATGATGTGGCTACCTATATTGTCATCTTACTTTTATTAATATTAACATAGTTTTGGAGTGACTTTTACTATTAGATGAATGTAAATTGAAATGAAGAGAAAAACAAAACGAAATATAAATTAAGCAAATGTTTGACCAAAGAATTATTTATGACTATAAGACCTTTTTCGACTCTCATTTATCTAAAATTCAAAGTCTTTGTTTGCATGGCTTCATGCGTATTCATAAACTGAGAAACATAACTCTCATTCAAGTGCATATCAAAACTAACTATGATTTCTAAGATAAACCAACCACGTATGAATGTTAAACTAAGTTAGAGCTAACATGCCAAAACTAGAATTACAACATAACTCTCATTCAACTACATACCAAAACTAATTATAATTTCTAAGATAAACCAATCACGTATGAATGTTAACCTAAGTTAGAGCTAACATGCCAAAACTAGAATTACAAAAGAATATATCTTCAGATTCCCCAAATTGAATTACATTCTTACCTATAAATTTATATAACTCAATGAAAACAATTTTAACTCCAAAATTATAACTTCACTCAACCAACCCTCCATTTAAACCAAGAAAGCACCATTACACATTTTTTTACAGCCTCAAGTTAGTTAATTTCTCTATGTTCATTTTATCACAAATCCAAACAACTACCAACCAGAATTCATCTACAATTAACCATTGGAATAATCAAAATTTCATATATGATCATATCTTACTCCGTTTCATTAAACACAGATTTCAATTATAAATCTCAATAGAATTTATCATACATCAAATACACTGAATTTTAAATAATAATCATCAAGGAACCATCAATTCAAATAGATATCAAAGTCAGAATAAAAAAATTAGCTTTCATTACCTTGAAAGGTAACTTTAAAGGCTTTAGAGATCAAACTCTCACAACTCCAAAAAATGTTTTATCTACACATAAAAACATCACAAACATGATTAGATCATACCTCTACGATTAGTGATCAACCGAGAATCATAAAGATGATTCTAGGAGCACATGCAAGCCAAAAAGATTGCATGCATGAATAAGGGCATATTTGAACATACAAAAAGATAAAAACTTACTTGAACAGAGAAATTGATTTGTAGAAATTGACGAGCATGCCTCAAGGATCACTCTGGCGATCTTAGATCTTCAACCAGACAAACAAAAAGTGAGAAAGAGAATAAAGAGGGTAGAAAACTTTAAAAAAAGTGATTTCTAGATAGATAATGTGTTTTCAAAGTAATGAGACTAGCTTGTGATAATTCTATTTATACTCAAGCCTTTTAATATTAAAATAATTGAGTCTTGCTATTCTAAAGGCACTATCAACTCTAAAATATAACTTTATAGGTTCTTACTCAAGGTTCTTACACCAAGCACCAAGCATCAATTAACATTTGGGCCTTGAAAGCCTTTGGATGAGTTTTTGGGTCAGTATCTCTTGAAAAAAAGGGACCTTTAGCATCATGAATTTTTGAGGTAGTTGCTCGTCCATGATTTCCCTCACGAAAGGATGACCTTCCTCTAATCCTCAGTGGATGAGCGAAAAATCTCGTATATCTTGAGATTACCATTTTCCTACATCCACTAATGTAATTCCTTGCTAGCTTTTTACAACTTTTCTTGCTGACGCAAAGCTTTCTCTAGACAATGGTGTGATTCCTCTGCCTCTATGTGCAACTGCTCGCGTTCTGCCTCAACTTCCTATCGTAGACGGTTGCGCTCATCCTTAACTTCTCGCTGAAGTCTTTCTCATTCAGTTTCCACTCTGACATAGCCTTCCTCTAAACTTTGTTATATTGTCTCATTCTCCCGTCTTAACTCTTCAATACTCTGCATAATTTGATGCATGATTGAGGCATCTTATTGTTGTTTATGGTGTTCCTTGTGGTCATTAGTTATTTGTTAAGTGGAGTCGGGATCAAGTTTTACTAAGACCCCACAGTGGACGTCAATTTTTCTAGCAAAAAAGTGTATTTTATTGAAAAAAAAAAGTATGATGAACTCTCTTAACTCAAAGCAAATAACACTTAAGCCAAAATAGTTTCGTCCTTTGGTTGTGTGATTTAACATTTTATTTATAAGTAAATAAGTTACAAATCATTTTTATTCCCCAAATTAGAGAATATTTAGTTACAAGGATAAAAACTAAAGGATTACAAAGATAATACCCAAAAGATATCAACTTGGCCCATAATTGGTTACAGTGAAATCAAACTTATCACGATTATATTGAGGTCAGTCAAATATTTTCAAGTATCTGAGCATTAGTAGTCAACTCATTGATGATCCATGGTTAACCTTATTGGGTGGTCTAATGATAAAGTTATTACATGTGATTATTATGCTCGACCCTCAAATTGACTTTAAGATTATTACATTGAGATCAGTTAACTCTAGATGGTACAATAACATATTACTGAAACTCGTATAAATGTTTACCTCGCAAGGTTATTTCTCTTTCTTTCCTACTCTTTAATTCTCTAGCATCTTGATTTCTTTTCTGATTCACCTTCTAAGCTCGCAGAACTTATTCCTTTTCTTTAATTCTTATTTTCGTTGTTATGGTGGTGGCTCATGGTGTTTATGTGTGAAGATAATGAAGATGGGCGATGAAGTTGAAAGATAGAATGTGGAGGAAAAGATGTGAGAAGGTGAACCAAAAGGATATATATAGGTTGTGTCATGATGGAGAAAACGAGATTTAAAGGTGAAGAGAATTGAAGGATGGTGCAGGACGAATATATCTTGATACCTTGGTTGTGAATGTATTGTCCCTATGTTGAGATGCAGTGAATGAGTGTGTGTGATGATTTTGAGAGAATTATAAGNTGAGATCAGTTAACTCTAGATGGTACAATAACATATTACTGAAACTCGTATAAATGTTTACCTCGCAAGGTTATTTCTCTTTCTTTCCTACTCTTTAATTCTCTAGCATCTTGATTTCTTTTCTGATTCACCTTCTAAGCTCGCAGAACTTATTCCTTTTCTTTAATTCTTATTTTCGTTGTTATGGTGGTGGCTCATGGTGTTTATGTGTGAAGAGAATGAAGATGGGCGATGAAGTTGAAAGATAGAATGTGGAGGAAAAGATGTGAGAAGGTGAACCAAAAGGATATATATAGGTTGTGTCATGATGGAGAAAACGAGATTTAAAGGTGAAGAGAATTGAAGGATGGTGCAGGACGAATATATCTTGATACCTTGGTTGTGAATGTATTGTCCCTATGTTGAGATGCAGTGAATGAGTGTGTGTGATGATTTTGAGAGAATTATAAGTCTCTGGAGATGGAGATGGAGAGAACAATACAGAGGTATGAATATGGAAGATGAATTGCAAGGCAAGAACAATGATTAAAGATCAAAATGTTTCGAATAGAAAAAAATTTGTAACAGAGAATGGTTAAAAAGAAAAGCATCAATGTTAAAACATTAGACCAATAACTCAAAATGTAAATAAGGGTTAAAAGGAAAATAAAAAAAGGGTTAAAAAGCAAATAAGAAACTGAAAACATTAAAACGAAACTAGACTGTGAGTCTGATAAAAAAAATGTAAACAAAAAAATACGAGTAGAGGACGTGAATGTTAAAATGAAAATTATGCCCAAAACAAAGCCCAAAATAAAAAATCTTGTTCTCTGTTTTTGGAAAAGTTTGGGCCAAACAAAAAGAATCCGTATTGGTTTCTATTATTCTTTTCTCTTTTCTCTTTTTATTTCCTTCTTAATTTTTTTAAAGAAGAATTTTCTAAAAGAAGAATTTTCTAATTAATTTTCTTTTCATTTTTTAACTAAAATTAATTCTTTTATTTATTTATTTTATAGTTTTTATTAATTTTTTAAATTTGAAGAAATTTGTATTTCATGTCATTTTATTTAATAACCTTTTTTTTTATTTTTTTTGAAATAAATTTTGGATGTTGGCAAAGACAAATAAGCAAGATATCTTAATACATTAACAGAAAAAATTAAAAAGTAAAAACTTAATTAAAAAATATCAATTTTTTAGTACTCAATAGATTAAAAAATTATAGTAAAGATTCAAAAATAATCAAATTTATTAGAAACTTAAACTTAGTTAAACCTAATTTTTCTTTTGATGATATCTCTACTTAACACCTAGGCAAACACGCACGATTCTAATATAACACATGATGTGCTATAAAATATCACATGATCTATTATTTTTCTCTCTCACCAAAAAAATATTAGATGGTGCAAAATTGTTACTATTTTTACTAGTTTATAGATAATACATAATTGGGTTTATTAATTGTTCTTTTGGAAAATTTTAAATGTGTCATGTATATTGTGGATACCAAGTGACTTCAAACTACTAAATTATAAATAAGCAGCTCGAACACTCTTTCGCAATGCTTGAATTGGAATAGTGTACTTTTTACTTTCGTGGATCTTAGATATTTTTGTTTCATTGAATTTCAAATTGCCCTGGAGATCCCTTTGTCAAGAATTATTTCCACGATTTCTCACTTTTTTTCTCACCAGGTTATCATAGCCTTTACCTGTTAAGACTCTGTTGCTGAAAGATGGGGAAAAAGTTCAGTCTTATTGATTTCTAAAAACATGACTACTTATTATAGCCGTTCTACAAGAAGAGAAAATGAAAACAGATCACATTTACATATCCCCTAGAATGTGATCCCTAAATTATTGAAATTGAATAGTCATTCTCCTTAATTAATCACAGAAACAAAACAAAAAATCTAACACAAAAGGGTAGAAAATATCTCTAACAAAAATGGATAGTTGTTCAAATATAATTGTTACATGTCACAACACACATGAAAGGAACTACCAATAAGAGTAGAGATAATAATAATAATAATAATAATTATAATAATAATAAGGAGCTCTCTAGCCCCTACATGAACAAGTCATCCTCTTCAGTCTAGTGCTTCCTCCTTCTTGTCCTCCCATTTGCTCAATCTCTTGGCTGCTTCCTCCACCTACAATCAACAAAATTGACAGTGACATCAAGTTACCCCTTTTCTGCATTCTTATAAGCAAGAAAACCTGTATAGAGTGGTCTTTTACCTCCTTATTCCAGTTCGTTCTAAATGTAACCCACAATAGAATCACTGTTTGCATGGCTGTGCCACCAAGCATTCCCAGCCATATTCCCTGCCAAGTAAAGAAAAGTGTATTTGTTTCTACTCAAATATAGAACAGTTTTTAGAAGAAAATAAAAACTAAACCCAACTTTAAATTAAAATGCTCATGCATAAAGAAATAAATGAAGAACAAATAACACATGTACACAAAGGATAAAGTTGGTAAAATAGTCATGTTTAGATACTTGTCATCGTTTCCTAGTAATAAAACTGATATTTACAGAATAAAACGTATGCTGGAGTAGATGCTCGTAATAGCTAAAACTATATATCAATTTTCAAATGAAAAGGCCAAAAGTACGTACCTTGGCACCGTAGTCGAAATAAAAGCCTAGAACCGCTCCCAGTGGTAAGCCAACTCCATAATAACAACCCACGTTTACATAAGCCACGAAAGCTTGCCAACCACATCCAACAGCCACCCCTTCATTCATATGCGACAGGTTAAACTGCATGCAACAATTTCTAGTGTACTAACTAATAAACCAAAAAGGCTGCAGAGGTGTACAGAAGAGTCATAAAAAAAATCTTGAGAATTTTTAACAATGCTTTATGTTCAAAGATAAAACTAACAATCAAACATGTTACGCCTCAGTAGATTGGCTGATGAGAAATTAATTATTGAGTATTCACAATCAGTTTACTAACGATTATTCATCAACTTGTTTGAACTTGAAGAAGACAACGAATAATTCGATTTACAATGGAATGAAATGTGATACTCTTAAGGTTTGTTGGAGCAATATGATTATGAAGTAATTAATATTAATTACCAGATAAGACGGGCTGGACGCCATTGAGGAGAATACAAAGAGCAAGCAGTGGGCAAAGATCTGAAACTGCAGCAGCAACCACTTCACCCCCTGTGAAGGCATAGCTGATGACATCCCTAAGTATAAGAATCACTATTGCTATAATAGCTGATATGATGAAAGAAATCGCTGTCACCACCACCACCGAAAAGGACGCTGATTTTGGATTTCCTGCTCCGAGTTCGTTACCCACCCTCACGCTGCATTCATCATTAAATATCAAACTTCCCGCTTTTATAGTTTCCTATACGCTTTACAATAATTATTTATTTAACAATTTAATCTATATTTTAAGTTTAATTTAATATCGTAACTTAATATTTTGTTATTTAAATGGATGTACGTACTTTTAGAAACTCTCCAATATAACTTTTCGGTTATGATTGATGATTCTCTGCATAATTTTTTTTTTGCTGATAAAACAAACTTTATGAATTTCCTGGTGCTCGATGTATCTACGCAAACGGAAATTTTGTAAGAAATAAGAAGACAGAATCTAACCTTGCCGCAGCTTGGAATCCAACGGAGATCATGTTAAACCAGCCAGAAAGTGTAGTACTGCAATAACAAAAATAACACGAGTAAAGAGTAGTGCTTGTTTGATAAGGTNTTCTTACCTATAAATTTATATAACTCAATGAAAACAATTTTAACTCCAAAATTATAACTTCACTCAACCAACCCTCCATTTAAACCAAGAAAGCACCATTACACATTTTTTTACAGCCTCAAGTTAGTTAATTTCTCTATGTTCATTTTATCACAAATCCAAACAACTACCAACCAGAATTCATCTACAATTAACCATTGGAATAATCAAAATTTCATATATGATCATATCTTACTCCGTTTCATTAAACACAGATTTCAATTATAAATCTCAATAGAATTTATCATACATCAAATACACTGAATTTTAAATAATAATCATCAAGGAACCATCAATTCAAATAGATATCAAAGTCAGAATAAAAAAATTAGCTTTCATTACCTTGAAAGGTAACTTTAAAGGCTTTAGAGATCAAACTCTCACAACTCCAAAAAATGTTTTATCTACACATAAAAACATCACAAACATGATTAGATCATACCTCTACGATTAGTGATCAACCGAGAATCATAAAGATGATTCTAGGAGCACATGCAAGCCAAAAAGATTGCATGCATGAATAAGGGCATATTTGAACATACAAAAAGATAAAAACTTACTTGAACAGAGAAATTGATTTGTAGAAATTGACGAGCATGCCTCAAGGATCACTCTGGCGATCTTAGATCTTCAACCAGACAAACAAAAAGTGAGAAAGAGAATAAAGAGGGTAGAAAACTTTAAAAAAAGTGATTTCTAGATAGATAATGTGTTTTCAAAGTAATGAGACTAGCTTGTGATAATTCTATTTATACTCAAGCCTTTTAATATTAAAATAATTGAGTCTTGCTATTCTAAAGGCACTATCAACTCTAAAATATAACTTTATAGGTTCTTACTCAAGGTTCTTACACCAAGCACCAAGCATCAATTAACATTTGGGCCTTGAAAGCCTTTGGATGAGTTTTTGGGTCAGTATCTCTTGAAAAAAAGGGACCTTTAGCATCATGAATTTTTGAGGTAGTTGCTCGTCCATGATTTCCCTCACGAAAGGATGACCTTCCTCTAATCCTCAGTGGATGAGCGAAAAATCTCGTATATCTTGAGATTACCATTTTCCTACATCCACTAATGTAATTCCTTGCTAGCTTTTTACAACTTTTCTTGCTGACGCAAAGCTTTCTCTAGACAATGGTGTGATTCCTCTGCCTCTATGTGCAACTGCTCGCGTTCTGCCTCAACTTCCTATCGTAGACGGTTGCGCTCATCCTTAACTTCTCGCTGAAGTCTTTCTCATTCAGTTTCCACTCTGACATAGCCTTCCTCTAAACTTTGTTATATTGTCTCATTCTCCCGTCTTAACTCTTCAATACTCTGCATAATTTGATGCATGATTGAGGCATCTTATTGTTGTTTATGGTGTTCCTTGTGGTCATTAGTTATTTGTTAAGTGGAGTCGGGATCAAGTTTTACTAAGACCCCACAGTGGACGTCAATTTTTCTAGCAAAAAAGTGTATTTTATTGAAAAAAAAAAGTATGATGAACTCTCTTAACTCAAAGCAAATAACACTTAAGCCAAAATAGTTTCGTCCTTTGGTTGTGTGATTTAACATTTTATTTATAAGTAAATAAGTTACAAATCATTTTTATTCCCCAAATTAGAGAATATTTAGTTACAAGGATAAAAACTAAAGGATTACAAAGATAATACCCAAAAGATATCAACTTGGCCCATAATTGGTTACAGTGAAATCAAACTTATCACGATTATATTGAGGTCAGTCAAATATTTTCAAGTATCTGAGCATTAGTAGTCAACTCATTGATGATCCATGGTTAACCTTATTGGGTGGTCTAATGATAAAGTTATTACATGTGATTATTATGCTCGACCCTCAAATTGACTTTAAGATTATTACATTGAGATCAGTTAACTCTAGATGGTACAATAACATATTACTGAAACTCGTATAAATGTTTACCTCGCAAGGTTATTTCTCTTTCTTTCCTACTCTTTAATTCTCTAGCATCTTGATTTCTTTTCTGATTCACCTTCTAAGCTCGCAGAACTTATTCCTTTTCTTTAATTCTTATTTTCGTTGTTATGGTGGTGGCTCATGGTGTTTATGTGTGAAGAGAATGAAGATGGGCGATGAAGTTGAAAGATAGAATGTGGAGGAAAAGATGTGAGAAGGTGAACCAAAAGGATATATATAGGTTGTGTCATGATGGAGAAAACGAGATTTAAAGGTGAAGAGAATTGAAGGATGGTGCAGGACGAATATATCTTGATACCTTGGTTGTGAATGTATTGTCCCTATGTTGAGATGCAGTGAATGAGTGTGTGTGATGATTTTGAGAGAATTATAAGTCTCTGGAGATGGAGATGGAGAGAACAATACAGAGGTATGAATATGGAAGATGAATTGCAAGGCAAGAACAATGAGTAAAGATCAAAATGTTTCGAATAGAAAAAAATTTGTAACAGAGAATGGTTAAAAAGAAAAGCATCAATGTTAAAACATTAGACCAATAACTCAAAATGTAAATAAGGGTTAAAAGGAAAATAAAAAAAGGGTTAAAAAGCAAATAAGAAACTGAAAACATTAAAACGAAACTAGACTGTGAGTCCGATAAAAAAAATGTAAACAAAAAAATACGAGTAGAGGACGTGAATGTTAAAATGAAAATTATGCCCAAAACAAAGCCCAAAATAAAAAATCTTGTTCTCTGTTTTTGGAAAAGTTTGGGCCAAACAAAAAGAATCCGTATTGGTTTCTATTATTCTTTTCTCTTTTCTCTTTTTATTTCCTTCTTAATTTTTTTAAAGAAGAATTTTCTAAAAGAAGAATTTTCTAATTAATTTTCTTTTCATTTTTTAACTAAAATTAATTCTTTTATTTATTTATTTTATAGTTTTTATTAATTTTTTAAATTTGAAGAAATTTGTATTTCATGTCATTTTATTTAATAACCTTTTTTTTTATTTTTTTTGAAATAAATTTTGGATGTTGGCAAAGACAAATAAGCAAGATATCTTAATACATTAACAGAAAAAATTAAAAAGTAAAAACTTAATTAAAAAATATCAATTTTTTAGTACTCAATAGATTAAAAAATTATAGTAAAGATTCAAAAATAATCAAATTTATTAGAAACTTAAACTTAGTTAAACCTAATTTTTCTTTTGATGATATCTCTACTTAACACCTAGGCAAACACGCACGATTCTAATATAACACATGATGTGCTATAAAATATCACATGATCTATTATTTTTCTCTCTCACCAAAAAAATATTAGATGGTGCAAAATTGTTACTATTTTTACTAGTTTATAGATAATACATAATTGGGTTTATTAATTGTTCTTTTGGAAAATTTTAAATGTGTCATGTATATTGTGGATACCAAGTGACTTCAAACTACTAAATTATAAATAAGCAGCTCGAACACTCTTTCGCAATGCTTGAATTGGAATAGTGTACTTTTTACTTTCGTGGATCTTAGATATTTTTGTTTCATTGAATTTCAAATTGCCCTGGAGATCCCTTTGTCAAGAATTATTTCCACGATTTCTCACTTTTTTTCTCACCAGGTTATCATAGCCTTTACCTGTTAAGACTCTGTTGCTGAAAGATGGGGAAAAAGTTCAGTCTTATTGATTTCTAAAAACATGACTACTTATTATAGCCGTTCTACAAGAAGAGAAAATGAAAACAGATCACATTTACATATCCCCTAGAATGTGATCCCTAAATTATTGAAATTGAATAGTCATTCTCCTTAATTAATCACAGAAACAAAACAAAAAATCTAACACAAAAGGGTAGAAAATATCTCTAACAAAAATGGATAGTTGTTCAAATATAATTGTTACATGTCACAACACACATGAAAGGAACTACCAATAAGAGTAGAGATAATAATAATAATAATAATAATTATAATAATAATAAGGAGCTCTCTAGCCCCTACATGAACAAGTCATCCTCTTCAGTCTAGTGCTTCCTCCTTCTTGTCCTCCCATTTGCTCAATCTCTTGGCTGCTTCCTCCACCTACAATCAACAAAATTGACAGTGACATCAAGTTACCCCTTTTCTGCATTCTTATAAGCAAGAAAACCTGTATAGAGTGGTCTTTTACCTCCTTATTCCAGTTCGTTCTAAATGTAACCCACAATAGAATCACTGTTTGCATGGCTGTGCCACCAAGCATTCCCAGCCATATTCCCTGCCAAGTAAAGAAAAGTGTATTTGTTTCTACTCAAATATAGAACAGTTTTTAGAAGAAAATAAAAACTAAACCCAACTTTAAATTAAAATGCTCATGCATAAAGAAATAAATGAAGAACAAATAACACATGTACACAAAGGATAAAGTTGGTAAAATAGTCATGTTTAGATACTTGTCATCGTTTCCTAGTAATAAAACTGATATTTACAGAATAAAACGTATGCTGGAGTAGATGCTCGTAATAGCTAAAACTATATATCAATTTTCAAATGAAAAGGCCAAAAGTACGTACCTTGGCACCGTAGTCGAAATAAAAGCCTAGAACCGCTCCCAGTGGTAAGCCAACTCCATAATAACAACCCACGTTTACATAAGCCACGAAAGCTTGCCAACCACATCCAACAGCCACCCCTTCATTCATATGCGACAGGTTAAACTGCATGCAACAATTTCTAGTGTACGTACTTTTATTGAGTATTCACAATCAGTTTACTAACGATTATTCATCAACTTGTTTGAACTTGAAGAAGACAACGAATAATTCGATTTACAATGGAATGAAATGTGATACTCTTAAGGTTTGTTGGAGCAATATGATTATGAAGTAATTAATATTAATTACCAGATAAGACGGGCTGGACGCCATTGAGGAGAATACAAAGAGCAAGCAGTGGGCAAAGATCTGAAACTGCAGCAGCAACCACTTCACCCCCTGTGAAGGCATAGCTGATGACATCCCTAAGTATAAGAATCACTATTGCTATAATAGCTGAT